AATTATTTATTAGAGCTATATGCAAAAATGAAGGCATAATTAATAAAAGCTCAAGAATAATAAAAAAATTAATGCATATGCTTATCATAAAGAACAACCTTAATTCCATATTAGCAACAAAGTATGATTATTTTGTCATAATATTAAGATTATTTGCCCTTATGATAAATTAGATTATCATAGACTTCGACCATTTCTTATTTGAAAATAAATCAATCTAATTATTCATTGATTATACCTACCAAAGTCTATGAAAATCCATCCCATATTCTATGTATCTCTTTTTGAGCCAAATAAGACAATAGATATACTAAGAAAAAGATAAATGCTACTTCTTCCTATAGAAGTGAATAATAATAAAGAATTTGAAATCAAATAAGTCTTTGACTCAAGATAGTACCAAAATAGATTGAAATATCTTATTCATTGATGCAAATATGATTTTAGTAAATGCACATGAGAGCCAGCTTAGAATCATGCAAATAAAAAAAAACAAAAATTGATATATTTTATTAAAAATATCCATTAAAATCAAGATGAAAGATAATAAATCTTTGTTATGAAAGAAGCAAAGAAATTATAAAAGCCTCAACATTGATCAAATTTTAAGTTAGTCTTTTTTACTTTAAAATGAGATATTATCAATAGTTAAAAAGACCTATTAACTATCTTCAAAGAGAACAAAGATCAGAGTATATAGAAAATATAATTTTTTTCATCTTAGAATTTATTAACACATGATCATTACTTTTCATAAAATTCATTCCTAAAAATAAAAAAATAAAAATAGTATCATTGATATATATATTTATTTCAATAATTACTTAAATAATATAAATAGGTAAAAATAAACTAAAGTAGATAAATTTGATAATATCTTATAGACAAGCTTTTTAAAAGCTTTATAGATGCAACTTTGACTTTACATGTATTTGGAGTTGATTAGTAGGCTAAAAACTTAGCCAATAAATTAACCAAGTATTGTATGTAGTCGTGATATAACATGATTAATTGGTGAAAGGAATAAAGAATCTAATATATTATAGAAGATCTTATTTCAAATATTATAGCAAATTATCTTAGAAAATAGATAATATTCTAAAAGAAATTCGAATTAAAGATTTAAATTCTACTTTTTTACAAAATAGGCTTCTATTTACTTTGTAAGGCCATAAATAAGGCAAAACAAGGTAGATTAGACAAATAAAAAATATAAGCATATATAAAGAGTAGTTAAAATTTTATTTAAATAAAAATTAACTCAAAAGAAAAAAATTTGATACTCAAAGAAAACTAGTTATCAATGTAGATTGAAATCAGACCCCAGGGCACAAAACTAGGCATAGATGTCAATTCAGGAGTTTTTTGGCAAATTGGAGAATAGAATTTGAAAGTAGACTTGATGGAATTTATTTAAGTATTGATTATGAAGGAATTGAGTATGTTATGACTTTGCAAGAGCTTTACAAAGTCACAATTGTTTTGGGTGACTTTGGAATTTATGAAATAATAAGAGTATTACATATTTGAAAATTTTTGTGAATTTGGTAGTAGATCTATAATTCAAAATTTGACGACTTATAAGAATAGTTTTTTAAAGTATATGCTATAAGTTTGAGCTTGATTGAATGGTTGAATGGAAGGCTATTGAATTTTAAGTAAGTTGAGGTCTCAGAAATTGGACTATGAAAGGCAATTAGGATTTCTAAGATCTTTAGCAATTTATTTATTGGATTAGAGTAAAGTTTATATTTGAAGATAATAGACTTGATTTCCTACACATATGTGAAATTTAAAGACAGTTAAATAGTTTAATAAGGAGATATTTGCACTAAGAATTCAACATTTAAATTGGAGTAGAAGGTTTGCCAACACTCGAGCAGATTTTAGGATTTCTTTTTCTATTTGATAAGTGCAGTTATCTTCAAATTTAATGTTCTTTTTTTTTAACTTAATTATTGAAAGGTGTATAAATTTTTAAGCAAGATCAATGGTTCAATTGATAGTTATTGAGGTTCTAAACTGTACTAGGATTAGTTTGAATAGGATTAGAATTTGGTTTAGGGTTTGATTTAGGATTTAGGATTTATTTAGAGTTTGGTTTAGGATCTAAAGTTTGATCTAAGGTTTAGTTTAGGATTTAGGATTTGATGTGGGATCTAGTATTTTATCTAAGATTTATATAGGATTTAGAATTTGGCTAAGATTTTGTTTAGGATTTAAGATTTGTCTAGGATTTAATTAAAGTCCATTAGAATTTCAACTAAGGTTAAATTAGAACTTAGTTGAGATTTATTTAAGATATATTTTTGATTATTCTAACATTTTTTAGGACTTCTTAAGGACTCTTTTAAAATTTATTGTGGATTTTTTTTCAATTTCTTTAAGATTTCTTAATGTTTCTTTTGTAATTTCTTTAAGGTTTCTTTTGAATTTGATTAAAGCTTATTTAGCATTTTTAAGGTTTAATTAGAGTTTATTTAGTATTCTAATAGAATTAGAATTTTTTTGTTGTAATTTCCATTCTATCTTCTATAGCCAAGTACTTGGTGCACTCTCAAGCAAGACTTCACATAATACAATAACGTGTTGGTAGCTTATAGTACAAGCTAATTATGTGGCTCATATATTGAAAACTTGCCTTGCAAGTTAAACACATGTTGAAGGTCTTATAAAATACTATGACGTAGTTCCTAGTGAGATATTATATATAGACAAAAGAGTGAATCCTTCTTTATTCTTATTAATACTTTTTTATTCCATAGTCTTGTTTTAAGACTTTTTAGTCTTCTTGTCTCTGATAATAGATATTTCTATTTCAATACTATATTAATTTTGAATGTGATATACTATATAAATGTAGTATTTGCAATGAATATTAACAAATTTTATGGATAATTGTTAAAGAATGTAGGAATAGATCTTAAAACCTCAATATTTGTCTATGGATAGTTGTATGTTATTCTTTCACAATGCACTTCTCCAAATATGATGAAGATCTTATATCATAAAAATAAAAAAGATAAAAATATTACCAAAAATATAGATTATTTAGAATTTTTCTTAACTTAGCTAATTTATTTTTATAATAAATAAAAATTATATTTACTAATTATAATAAAGAAATATAAATTATTCTATTTTTATACATATATATATATATATATATATATATATATAAATTGGTCAATATTTCTTTAGGAGTAATCAATTTAACTTTGAAATCACAAATTAAGTTTTTATTCTTTTTTTGTGGCCAACGGTATGGATTTCTACTATTATATATATATAGAGAGAGAGATTGATTATAAAAATTTATTTAATATTTCTTTTTGGATCTAAACATCTTTTGTGAAAATATCCCACAACTTTGACACTTATTCCATATATTTTATGGTCCTAAAGAAGCTTCTTATTGACATCCTAGATAACTAATATATATATATATATATATATATAGAAATAAGATCAAAACCAACTTCAGTGTTTTGAATATCTCATGTACATTCCACTCAAGATTCAAATTTAAGATTCTATTTTATCTTAATACTAATAATTTTATTTATTTGTTTATATTATTTCTGATTATTAATAGATTATTTTAATTTCATATATATATATATATATATATGTACAGAGAGGAAATAATAGAAAAATACATTCTTTTTATATTTAATCTTCAATATAAAATATATATATATACAATCATCTTCAAATATATTATTTTATATATATATATATATATATTTAGTTCAAACTATAAAATAAAATACTAAATTCAAATCAATTTAGCCAAAAAAATGTGGTGTGGTGCTTTTACAAGATAATCATTTTTTTATAAGGATATTTTTCTTGATGTGTATGTGATATGGCATTCATGATTGTTTTGCATATAATCTTTGAAGTAATAATTTTTATCTATAATTAGAAAAAAGAAATATTTATTATAAGACATATTGGGGAAAATTATATACAAAGAAAGAAAGAAACAAGAACAACAAAAATGATGACACATGATATTGCAACTTTTTCACATAATACAAAACTTACAATTTATTTTATTTAAAATACTGATTTTTTAATATTTCAAAAAAAGATCAATTAGTGTATTAATTTATTGTTATATGTTTTTCAAAAGTATAGTTACCTAACAATAGGTCTAGGTTACTTATGCTACATACTTTTTTTCAATAGATTTCACTTCAAGTGTCTGGTTGATAATTGAAGAACATTTCAATCATAATCTTAAAATGCATGTAATATAAAAAGAAATCATGCTCAAAATCATCCATACACAATCAAAACTTTAAAAAAATGACAATGATAGACATAACCACATCAGACAATGATATTGTTATTACAAAACGAATTATAGGATACAATTAAATACTTTTCAATTATACTTTTCAATAACAAACTTCAACACAATCATAAAAATCAATTTTAATAATTTTATCCTTCATTAAACGCATTGCATTTCAGCCTAAAAGATTGAAAAATTGTTATTCAGACATTCTGAAAACAATCATGGAGCATTTTTGGGCACAAGTCGTGGTTTGCTTATTTATTTTCATGTAAAAATGACGTATATTGACTGTGTTCACTGTGGGTTTCAGCTTTGCTGGGCAGAAGGAGAAGGACCGCATATAGTTTTTGAAGACTCCAAGACTGGATTGCGGCTCGGGTTGATGCAGGCTCAGCATCATGGAGGAGTTAACCGTGTTGAACTACAGTTGTAATCCACTGAAACTGGCCTAATTTAACTTCTAAACAAGTTGAAGAATGCTACGAATCACGATAAGCTAGACGAAGTCTTTCACAACAGTTAGCAAATTGGAATTGTAAACTTCCCTTACCAAACTCCAACAATAGGCTTGTCCTCCCATTGAAGGGTAACGGCCACGACGTTCGACGGGCATGCATTTTGTTGCTTCAACTCTGGAGCATATCAATACTGGTTTGCTATGGAAAGAAGGCTGTTAGGCGACGAGTACACATTCTTCACGCTGACTGTTTGGTCTTATATTCTTCTTTTCTTTATTGAAGCCAAGGGGAATCCGTACGCACAACGCTGTCACGAGGAAAGCGTGGCAACACGAAGCAGATGCTTGAGGATTCTACAGAATGCAAGGGGGAAACCTAAGGAAGAGAAGCTGCAGTAAGAGCTCGGGCTAGAACTACATGGGTGATTATCAGTATGGTCGCTGCCCAACCCAGTTGCCGGGCGGGTAGTAGTTGCACGTCATGAATACGTTGCCATCGTTGCAGACAGATCTCGCGCATCCTACCCGCGTCGTCCCCCGCCACACAATCTGCGTGTAGTGCCCGCACTTGTTATTGTACGCGCACGAGTTGCTGTAGTAGCGGTACCACTGTCTCTCCCTCACCCACGCGTTGGCTGCTTCCACAGGCTGCCACAGCTTCCCCGCCCCCCAGAAGATGTTCTCCCCGTAAGGTCCCCCGGAATGCTGAAGTCTGCAGTCGCCGTAGTACTGCCGCTGCGTAGCCCACCACTGCGCGTAGTTAGCCAGTCGGCCGTCCCATTGTAAGGGTGGGAGGCCCAGCTGCGCTCTTGCGACGTTCTGAGGCCGCAGAAAACCGTCCACCTCTGCCCGGGAGAAGTCCGCCATCACAACCCTGCACATAGCAGCTGCCGTAACCAGTGACAGAAATATATGGAAAACATTCCAAATCTGCACCATGGTTGAAAGCTAACTTCAAACACTCCACACTCACAGCTAGCTACAATTTTTCCACCAACTAGCGGGAGCTCGGCTTATCAACGACCTTGAGCGGCACTCAACAGCAGGGATAGCGTTAAATGGCAACCTTGCATCATGGAAGAGAAGAGAGAAAATGGCGCTAACAAGCCGGACTATCAGCATCATCTCTGCTGACGGATCCTAAGCTCCGATAAGTTTATAAACAACTGGCGCCTGAAATGAAGAAGACCACCACCTCACGCTCAGGTCGCGTGAAGCGGCAGTGCAACCTGCAGCAGTGAATGCAGCTGGTCGTAGCATGCAGGAAGCCAAGGAGGGTGTGTCTGCCGGACTGGTGTGAGGTGGCCAAAATGTTTACAAACCTGAAATCAACCGCCAGTAGGTAACATGCACATCTGATTAGTTAGACAACGCAACGAGCTCCTCGACCTGATCGTGGCCACAACCTGCTGCACGCACCTCCTGTCTGTGTTGACAATTGATCACACCTCCTTCCCCCACATAATGACTTGTCATGAAACATATTAACACGACTGACACCCCAGTACAGATTACAGTCAAGTTTGAATTTGTCACCCAAATATACGAGGTAATCGTTAACCATTATCACAGCATCACATTCAAATACGTGAATATACACGTGGATAAACCCTAACAGTCTGACATTCACCCCACTATCAGCGGGAAAATTACATCTGCAGGAATTGGAATACCAGCTCAAATTCATAACTGGAAACTATGGGACTCATGGACAAGCTTCGTGGGTTTCAGTGTGAAGTTGTCTGACCAACTACTCGCAGAGCGACATCTGAAGTTCGTTGATTGTAGCAACGGAGGTGGAGATTACCGACCACGGCAGCACCATCGGTACGGTTCAAGTGAGACGAATTTATGAAGCATTGCCTGAACCACCGATCTTGCGAGTTAATGCGGTGCCGAGCAAAGTCGATGGGCATGTGAATCTCTGGCAGTTTGGATTTGTGTGGATTTGGGTGTTTGTCATGGCGTCCAATCTACACTAGACTAAGTTTACCACGTTACAAAATTAGAACACAACTTGACTATGTCCATTTGACATGGCCCACTGAAGATGCTCATACTGCTAATGAAGAATAGTTTAGTTTGCCAACATGATGATGGGATGCAAGGATAATGCTGTTCCAGGGATCCCATCATGATTCACCCAAAAAACAAACAAACAAACAAACAAACAAACAAACAAACAAAAAAAAAAAAAAAAAAAAAAAAAAACTAGATGTAGAAAGAAAACAAAATAAAATGGTGAAGTGGCATTAGGATATGAAAATATAAAAATTATTCATAATCTATGATGCAACTACCAGTAACATTGTAAAACCTGTCCCTTGCTCCCGAAGTGAAATGTCTACCACCCTTGGCTACCTTAAGCCAATCACCCAATTGCTCCTAGTTCTCATCATCCACTTATAAGCTTCAATATTAAGTTTTTAGTTGTGTAAATTAATAATGATTTAAGCATCTTGTTTCAAATCAAGAATATTAATTTCTTTTTCAGGTTTTTTGTTTTCTGAAGCTTTAATTATAGAATATTTACAAAATTAAAAAGTAATTATATTTGTAATTTTAAATATAAAGTCCAACATACCATTTTAATAGACAATAAAATAGAAAAAATAAATATGTAGCATCATATAAAGTCTGAGAAAATGATAAATTTTTAATCCATTAATCTAGTATTTATTCTATTCACTCTGTAAAAGACAAAAAATCAATAAAATAAAATTTAAATTCACAAGATTGCAAGACAACATTTTTTAGCAAAAGAAATGCCAAAAACAGAAAATAAGTATAATTAAAAAATGTTTTTCTTTTATTATTTGATCCAATGGTTTTTAATAAAACGATACTAATTACACTCATTTTATTCTGTTAAATTTATTATAGAATAATTTACTTTAACTTCAATCTTGTATGTCAAGTCAAACTCTTTAGTTTGTAAATATAAATAAAATGTTATTTTTATAATCTGTCTTTTTATTTAAGACTTTTACTTCAGTTCACAAGGATTAAGTTTTAAAAAAGTATCAACTTAAAATAATTTTAAAAATTAAAATTTTATATTTAAAAAAATATCTATAGTATATTGACTGTCAAAAAAATCTGGAACTTTTGAATGAAACATATGTATAACAGAGGTTAAGAGTTGATTTAAAAAAACGTCTACATAATATTGGAAATATTCATAAAATTGACGATAAAATTAGAAACATATATTTTGAAAATAAAAATAAAATAACTTCAAAAACTTCTAAAAATTCAAATTTGTTTTATAAAAATAGGGTTACTAAAAATTTATAGATATATATAGTCTGTTTTACTTTATATCTCTTTAATTTTAAATATTTTTATGAAAAGAGCTTCTAAAGAGACTTCATAAATGCAAATTCACTTGACAAGTATTTTTTCCAAATCTACCTTATTTTACTTTATTCAACTACATTTTATTATTATTATATATTTAAATTTATGTGTATATATACACACATAAATCTCCTTTCATATTTTTTAAATGCAACAATAAATATTTGATAAAATTTAATAGAACAAAATTTGTGAGTAAAAGTTTTAAATATTGCTACTTTGTGCAAATGATTTTAACAAACAGATCACACGACTTAATAAATTTATGTATGATTTATTAGAATTTTAATTTTTGATTTTTATATGTACATGATTTTATGTCTTTTAATATCAATAATTGTGTATATAAATTTTAATTCAAGTTTTTATTATTATTAAAAAATATTATATATCAGGTAATAAAAAAATTGTGTATATCTTCTAATAATGTAACTTATTAAAATTTAAAAAATTTAAAAACTATGAAATAATTTAATTTTTTAATTTTTTAATTTAATTTAAATTAATTTAATGATATATATATATATATATATATATATATATATATATATAAGAAAATGAAGCAAGAATAATAATTTTAATAGATGTAATTAGAAATTGGTAAAATTATGCTAAGTAGATAATATCTATTTTGAAAAACATCAATAAAACTTCTTGGATACATATTAGCTTTTTTATTCTTTCACGTAAGCCAAGTAGCTGTAAAAATATTTTAAAGAATTTCACTATTTTTAGAAAGATTTTTATAAACAATCTATAACTTAGACATTATTGTACTATGCCAATTTTATTTTGGAAGTGCACTAAGCATCTAACTATAGAAGATAATTATGTATGTTCTTTAATCATTTTATAAACTAAAAATTATATGTTGAAAACATCATTCTTTAATAAAATAAAATATTTTAATATTTTAATCCAAAAAATCCTAAACTCTATACCAATCAATTCTAAATCCTATATCTTATTAAATTCTAAATGCTAAATTCTAAAAATACTAAGGAAATGATACTAAATTCTAAAATAATTCAAACAAATCCTAAATGTCATTGAATTTTTTAAAAAAATTTAAACTAACTCATTTCCTTAAATTCTAAAAAAATGTCAATGAGTTAATCATAATAAGTCAGAATCTCTAATTAGTTTTTTTTTGTTACCTTTACAATTTTTAATTTGACATTTTTAGTCTCTTATCTACTAAAATACTTATAAAATATTTAACTTGAAAAATGATATTTTAAAAAATAAATTTCTCATTACTAGTTCTTGGATTTTTAATCTTAATTTATTAAAGAATTTCAATAATCAATTCTTTCTTTATAACCATTGATTTTTTATGAAAATTATTAGACTTTTTCTTTGTGACATATCTTATGAGTTCTTCAAATCTTTCTTTTTTCCAAACAATATGTTCCTAGATATTTAAGAAAATTTAATTAAACTTAAATTCCTTAATCTTTACCTTCTAATATAAATTGTTAATTTTTTCATCACATTATTATTATTTTTTTAAAACTTTATTTTTTTACTCATGTATATAATTAGATAAATCCAATTTTAGATTATGTCCAAAAATAAAGAAAAAAATCCAAACTTCATACTAATTTTTATTTCCAACAAAACCTTAATTTTAATTATTTTATAGAAGATTGTTTTTAAGTCATAATCTTTTAGACCTTATACTTCTAAAATGGTTTTAAGACTAGCTAACTTATCATAACTTTTGACTTTCAAAATAAAATATATATTTAATAAAGAGTTTTGATTTTATTCTCTTAAATTAAATTTTGACCTTTTCTTCTAAATGATTATTTCTTAGGTATTAATAATAATATTTAAATAAATTTTAATAATAAATTTAATATAAAATTTGTCTTAAAAGTAAATATATATTTTTTATGTTTAATTTTCTTTATCTTAATTTATTTACGATCCAATATTATTGATAAAAGCCTTTTTAATACAAATGACTACATAAAATATATACTATATTAAAGAAAGTTGATTTAGCTACTAATAAGGCATAAAATAATATCTACTAAATTTGAATTGAATTCTTTATATATAACTTAGATCTTTATTGATTTTAGTTTTTTAATAGCAATGTTTCAATATAAAAATTTTCCTTTGAATATGAACATTATTTAGTATCCTCAAAATAGACCAAGCATTCTTGTTGGCATTAAACTATTTTTTTACAACCTATATAAAAACATGTCACACACATAGCAATACTAGTAAAGATAAGAGTAGTTAAAAAGAAATAACTATAAATAAGTAAATTTGTTAATGTCTTGTAGAGAAGCTTCATAGATGCAGATTTGACTTTTAAAGTATTTGTAGGTGATTGGAAGGTTGAAAAATTAGCCACATATTGCATATATTGACCACATATTGTACATATTGACCACTTGTAGCACAAATTGGCCATGTGGCATACATATTAGAAACTTGCCTTGCAAGTTAGATACATGTCAAATGACTTCAAAAATATCACAATATAGCTCTTTAATTAGATAGTATTTATAGAGGTAAAAGTCAAGCCTTCATCACTCTTGTTGATGTATTACTTGCATTCTTATCTTAGCTCAAGAATCTCTAGTCTTTATATATTTGGCAACAGCCATTTTAATTTCTATCTTTTATCTATCTTTAATTTGTCTAATTTTTTATTCTTTTAATTTTTTTTCACAAGATTGTATTACTTCTTTAGATTTATGTTATAAATCATTTCTTTCATAAACTCTTCTTTATAAATTTTAGTACCTAATTTATCATTGTCATTTTATTTTAAATGATTGAAGTCTTTACTAAATCTTCTATACTAAGTTTTATATATATATATATATATTTTTAAAATATCTTTGTTTATTTTTAAACTATTAGTATTTTTAATCTTATAATATCTTATTTTTTAATAAATATATTTTATTATTATAATTATTTATTATAATATATTTTCTAAACTAACTTTTAAAATATTTTACAAAATATCAAACAAATTATTTAAACTATAGTTATAAATCAAGACCTAAGAATCTTCTTTAATTATTTTAGATTTTAATTAAAGTTATTTATCAAATCAATTCTAGTTTTTTTAATCTTATCCTTTGCAATCTTTTTAAGACAATGTCTATATATTTTGGTGTTTCACTTTATTTGCCAAATCTTAATGACTATTATTTCTTTCTTATCAATCCATCGTTTTAGAACATTATACTTCAAATTAGTATAATTTCTTCAATATGTTTAACATGTATTTGACTTGTCAAAATATTTTCTAAGAAATATTATATAATTAAGTTATATTTTTTTTGATGAATTTATATCACAAATAAAAAATAATTGAGGCCATACTATTTCTTTTCTATTATGAATCTTAATCAAAGAATTTATAATTAATAAACAACTAAGTTCACTTTTGCATGTCTTTTTGAATTTTCAGATGAAATCAAAGATGATTTTATTCTACACCATACAAAGAATCTATATGCTTCTTATATATTTAATCCTCTATATTTATTAATTAGTATAACTTA